TTCACTTTCTTTGGTTATTTATGTGGGTTGTATGCATTTGTAAGACTCCAGGACCAATGGCCACATCAGTGTGGGACATGTGCCATTCTAGCACATCAGTGAAATATGCTGTGAGGACCAAACTGATGTTGGAGGAACTGGAGTTGCTAAAGTTCAGGGGCACTGGAAAACTGCTAAAAAAAAGATGAGCTGACTGATGTACGGCTCTGCCACCTGAGTCTGTCTTACCCAAGCTAAGTATCAGACTCAGAGATGATACTACTAGGAGCAATATCACAGTCTACATGGCTGGAATGTGGACACCCCCGTGGAAACACAGCATGGGGGTCAGAACTCTTGACCTGTCTATACCCAGAGTTGCAAAGGTGTGACATTGAACCTATGTATTTAAACAAGCATTGAGCAGACACTATATTGGTGTAAAGCTTATTTTTAATAGGGGCAAGCTCAGCCAGTGAGTGGCTATACACAAAGGTGTACCAATTCAATAAACAGATACAACTTCTGGGTGTGGACCAGATCTACACAAAGTGTGCCCCATGCTCACAGCTTTCATGTGATTTGTTGATTGAAGAGACAGGCATGTAATCCCCTTCTTTTACTTGCATCTATAAATAAAAGGAAATGCAGTCCAGGGCTTTTCCAGTCCCAGAGCCTCCTGGGTTCTAGTATTGCACTGAGTCACTGCGTAACCTTACAGCATTTACTTTCACGTTATACCTCAGCCTCCACATCAGTAAAATGGGGCTAAATCACAGGCATGTTGAGAATCACCCACTGTTTTGGGCAGTGCAGTGCAACTAGTCTGAGATTCCTGAGTGCCAGGTGTTGTAAGAATCAGACTGACTGTTCTTCCATGAGGACACACATTCATGGCTATAGGGAGATAGAACTTGAACTCCCAATTTGCTAGTCTAATTTTACCCAGCTTTGTTGACATGGTAGCCAGCTTATGACGGTTATTAGATGGTGTCTATAACATTAGATTAAGGGGTCTTGCATGAGTTTCTACTGGACCTGTATCCAAATAATAAATTTCACCATAGACAGCACTGAATGGCTCCCTGTAGCAGGTTGCCCCCTAAGGCTGTGTCTACATAAGCGTGGATATTTGGTTCCCCGAGGACAGCTAGCAGCTTCTCCTACATGTCCTTCAGGAATGCCTGTGTCACACATCCTCTGGCGTGCGGCAGGTTACCCTGGGTGGGGTAGGGAAGGCTGGGTCCAGCACTGGCTTGGCTCTGGCAGCCTTACCTGGGATCCTAGGTGCCTCCTGGGGCTGCAGCAGCAGCAATCCTGCTGCTTGGAGCTTGGCTGGCAGCTGGAGTGTGGCTCCAGCTGGCCAGGCTCTGGTTTTGAGCGGTGCGCGCTGCCCCCACACGTGCCGCTCCACTTTTTTTTTGCACAGATTTTTTTGACCTCTGGATATTCCAGGGCCAAAAGATACCCCCACACTGCTACCTTGCAGCATGGAGAACAGCTGAATGTGCGGTATGTGGCACAGTAGACAGGTCTGCCATGCTATGCACCACACAGCCATACTCATCTGGACACAGCCTAAGGCCCTTATCAGCCAAGCTATTGCACCTTCTCCAGGTGTCTCTCAACAAGCCTCAGCAATACGCAGTCTTTTAAACCCACTGACCTTTGCTCCCTGGAGTCTCTCTCAGTATGCCCCAGTAATATACAGTCTTTTAACAAAATAAAGCAAGTAACCAAAAAACCTTATTGTCCTAGAGAGTGGGAGGGGTCTGCTGTGGCTTTAGCCTTCCTACTGCTGGCTTGCCCTCCTTGTAGCCCAGGAGTGGCCAGTGCTCCTCCTCTGCACCTCCTTCTGGTTCTGCCTGCTGGGGATTTTGTTTTCCTAGAGAACCACTCGTTAGCCTTTGCAGAGCTGCAGCCCCGCAGCCAGGCTAACTGCCTCCTCAAGAGGACATGCCACCCTGTTACACTCCCTTATCAATACAAAAACCTTGTTACATAGTAATTTTGGGTGGCTCCTGGAGCTCTTAACCCCTGGATTGTCCATACATTAACACCTGAAACTGGTTTTAAGCACTCATTAGGTAGCTCAAAGTGACGCCACTTCAGGGCAGGTTTATCTCTGATCCATGCTACCCAACTCATGTTACTCTGGCTAAGATGCAGCCACTCTAGGCTATACCTTAGTGCAGGGGTTGTCAACTGGGGGTACTTTGAAAGGTCCCAAGGGGTATGTGGGGGAAGGTGTGGATGGAGCGCTGCCACCCTGCACCATCAGGGTAAAGGGCTGGGGTGGGGCAAGAGCAGGGCCACACAGATGCTGCGCCCCCTGCACCCCACCACTCAGCGTCCAGCTGCTTGCCACCCCCCCACCCCCGCCTTGGTGTCCTGCTGCTTGCCACCCCACCCTCTCTGACTAAAAAGGGGGTTGCCAGGGGTACATTTAAAAAGGTTGAAAACCCCTGCCCCACCTGCTACCTAGACAAACAGGTGGGCAACCACAAGTAAGCTGGGAGGTGCAATGAGTTGGGGATCTTCAGTGTTGGGGAGGGCAGGGGGGGTGGGCAGTGAGACCCATCAAGGCTGGTGCTGCCTGCTCCCCTGGGACAGAGCACAGGCAGCCACAAGTAAGTAATGCCCTGGGGGCAGGGAGAGACAGGAGGTGGGGGGGAATTAGAGGGGGGGGGGGAACCAGAGGAGCCCCAGGGGACAGGGAGGAAGCCTGGAATTAGGAGAGGCCTGGAGGAGAAAGGTAAAAATCCCCCCCCCCAACTCTCCTGTCCTGAAGTGTGACTGCTCCAAACTGGAGATAGCACTAATGCTGATCAACATTTGTGTGCCTCCAGCGTAATGTGTAACAAGGCCCTTACAAGAAGGCTGAACACTGCATCAGGAGGTAGACTCCCATCCCAACCCCAGGGTTGATACAAGTGAACAGGGCACTAGTGGGGGAGACTGGACTTGCAGTTGCTGTCATGGGGCAGGATAGCTGGGGATACAGGACTTCAGACTCCAGGGCTTCCAGATCAGCATTGTATTCCTTTAGCTTTGCTTTGTTTCATTCCTATGCAGAAGCACACATGTAGACTCCTTCCTGCTCAGCTTTTTACATTCTAAGGGTTTGAACCTATTTTACAAGCCATGGTGAACACTGCTGCATAGCTTGTAAAACCTGCTAGAATGCTTATCACTGCATAGCATCAAGCTCTGTGTCTGCAGAAAGACAAAAGGCCAAGGCTATTTAATCCCATTCCACAGCATTGCACTGCTCAGACAGGAGATATTTAAACAGGTGAGCTTCTGTGCCAAAGGAAGCTTGTGTTCTGTCACTCCTGAGCCCCAGCCCATAAGCACATACACAACCAGCCCAACACACCACCCTAATTGCAATACAAATGATAATCATCCTGGATGGCATATAAAAAACCTCACATGACCTCTATGGCTCCGTAATACTCCAGTTCCCTCTCCTCTCACTACACACCTTGTACTGCAAATACTAAGATTCTGGGCATAACAATTTCTGGCTGGCACGTCCTCTAAAACACTTTCTGATCCAACTAAATTGCCTGTAAGTGTTCATGTTAAAGAGTGCAACACTGCTAAAATTATAATTTATTACGGTCTCCCAGGCATGTAATGCCTTCAGCCTTCAGAACTGTTCTATTTGAACTAACTGGATTTTCAAACAGGCAGTTTTTGAAAGAGGTGACAGTGTAAGAGGTGACCAGATATGATGCAGCGCACTTAGCATCAGACACAGTCGGTACCCATATTTACTTGCATTCCACACGCAATCAGTCCCCCCAAATTGGGGTTTGTCTCTCAAGCAGGGACAATGATTTTTCTTCACTAGAACAGAAATAGAAGAATATTAAAGCACAGCATCTGCTTGCTTCTGGCTGCCAAAACAGCTGCCTCTTGTCTCGGGTTCTAGTATACAGAAGGGGTGGGATCCCTCGTTAACCCTCTCAAAACCCCAGCTATTGGCTGAGCATTGTAGCTTGTGCCTGAAGGAGCAATTGAGCTGGCTCAGGACAAGTGAGCAGCTGCATGCAGTCTGTAGTACATTGGTGAGGTTTGTAGTGTGGAAACAGCACTTCATTATTTATTGGAACTTATATAAAAACTATTTACAGTAAAGTAGTAACAGGCATGGTACTGCCCTTGCAAGAGTCTTGGGTCCTGCCATATCAGGAGGTCCCTGCTGCCTCACCCAGACTGTTTCCTGGGATGCCACGCTTCCTGGATGCTCAATATTTCCAAGAGGGCTTACTCTATGTGTCACAGTCATCCATGACTCTGGAAAAATCTTTTATTTCTACATTCTGCCTTCTGCAAGACGTGTCTTATTTAGGGGCAGGTGGTATGCAAGAGAATAAAGTATTTCAGGGATGTATTTTGAATAGGAAAACATATGTGATTACAATAGGTTTATCCTAGAAAAACTTGGGCAAAATTTATTCAAATGACTGGTAATTGTGGATGCTCACCTGGAGACAATGTAGAAAAGCCTCATTTTCAAAAACTAGTAAGCTCCAGCCCTCTGAGAAACAGGTCCCTTCATGTAGTTTTGAACCTCTTGGTTAAAATTTTAAATCTGAAGGGTTTCACAATAACATTTCTGGCTTGAAGCAGAAAAGCCTTTTGGCATAACTAGAACCAGACAAACAAAAATGAACACAGAACATTGTATTTATACAACAAGTTATTCATTGTGAAGAAGAAGGGGGAGAGAGAGACTTGGAATTGTCCACAATATAGTAACAGGGCACAACCAGTAATATAACTTCCTGAGCCTGATATTCAGAAGAGGAGAGCACCCCCAACTGCAATTGAATCAACAGGAGTGTTTTGTACTCTGAAACTATCCGTTTTACCAGGTACTAGAAAGGAAACGAGCCTGGCTGATTCACACTGGACACTATCAAAATAACCCTTCCCTAGTAGAAGGATTTGCACATTTCTCAATAGTGTCAACTGGAAGGTAAAAGATTTTCTAAAAACTGGTATTGTAGTTTCTGTGCCGACTGTTAGTGTGAGTGTGGGTGCTTCCATTGCAGGGTAGCACCATCTGCACTCACACTCATGATGTACTTGTTCCCAGGGCAGATCTTGAGTCGCCTGATGCTGCCACTGTGACCCACACCAACATGAGTCACCTCACCTGTATCATAATCCCACACTTCCACCAGATGGTCATCACCGCCTGCGTTGCGCACAAAGGAAGAACAGGTGGTTACATAGTGCTTTCTTCTTTTTTGGGGGGGGTAATTGTGTCCTGGCATTAGGAAGGGAAAAGGGCCCTGAGCACTGCAGTGGCAATGCACTCTCTGTCTCATGAGGCACCAAGTCTCAGTATTTGGGGTTCAGTATGGTGCTCAGCATAAGCTCCTCCACTAACATATCAAAAGGAGCTCTATCCAGAGATGTACAAATACCAGGAATATTCCGGGCCTTCAAAGAGAATTCCCCCTTAAGGCTGGTTTAACAGGATAAATTAAGGGGTTTTGGTCCCTAGACATAAAGTCTGCAGCTTTAACCACATGCCTGCCTAGTAGCATAGTGTTTCTCTGCCATTACAGTGCCAGGGTCACAGAGGACATGTGAGAATGGCTGGGCATGTGTGCCCCAGTGCTCATGTTGGACTGCCTTTGGGCAAATGTGGGTCATCCCCATATTTTCAATATACCAGGGAGGTCTCTAGGCTTCTGGAGAATGGATGCCCTCCAAGTCATGAGAAAGCAAGTATCAAAGTTATCCCTGCTGTAACCCTAAGGCCATGTACTGTCTGTGGCAGACAGGTATTAAGAAGGTGACCCTGGGAAGCACAGAGCACTCCCATCTCCATATGACTTCAGTGAGAGCATGTTAAGCTCAGCATTGCAGGACCATGCCCATAGCATTTTTGCAAGTATTTCCCTCCAGTAATACCTGTTATTTTCCTTCCGAGAGGAACCTTATTTTATTCTGTCCTGTCTACCTTTGTAAGCTCTCAGGGGGTCTCTGTTATTTCTTTGCCGTCCTTTTGATGGCATTGCCCTCTCCTCTCCCAGCATTTTTTATTAATATTCTTCTCATCCACATACCTGTAACAAAGTGAGTCCCATCACATGTAATGTCCATCCCATTAATGGAAACTTTCACAGAGCTTTCCAGTTCTCTGATCACAGAACCATCAAATACCTCCCACCATCCAATCTAGGAACCAGACCAGCAAGGAAGTTCAATTATACAGAATTAGCGTGATTCATAGATACTAGGGCTGGAAGGGACCTTGGATGATCATCGAGTCCAGTCCCCTGCCCCAGGGGCAGGAAGTCAGCAGGGATCATAGGATCCCAGCAAGATAAGCACCCAAATGTCTCTTGAAGGCGTTCAAAGTAGGTGCTTGAACCATGATGATTTCCATTGCTTCTGGAAGGCATGTTTAGCACTGTCCATGTTACAGAAATCATAAGTAAAGTGTGGGACCCAGCGTCTGTTTTACCTAATGGGCCCTGGTTTTTCCAAGGGAAGGCTATGTTGGTTGACAAGGCCTGCCTTGATCACAGCCTGATTCAGAGGTGTAACCAGCTACTATTGCACCCTGGCCAATCCTCCCTCCCCTCCACCCTGCCTTTCCCCTTCCTGTGCAGCATCCTTGCAGTTCCTCTGACTCTGGAGGCTCTAGCAGCTGGGAGGACAGAGCAGCGGTTGTGGTACAGGAGCAGCAGCTGGAGTTTGTTGCTGCTGAAGGGAGATGTCACCTCTTTTTTTTGCCAACAGCATGTATGTTGAGCAGGCAAAAAGAAACTATTCTTTGGTAGCAAAAACAAACAAACAAAAAAGAGATGACATATTTCCTCAACAGCAGGAACTACACTTCCCAGGATGCCCACTCTCACACATACAAACATGCACACGTGTGCACAGCACACACATACATAGTAGCCTCTCCCCTTGGGCAGTACCTAAGGCTCATGCCCTGCCTACTTACCTATCCTTATGCTCCTGGTCTGGCTTGATTCTGATTGGAAGCTGGACCCCCCAGTCAATGACAAAACTTGCTGCCATGCCCTTGGGTCTCTGAGTTACTTCAAGCTGACTTCCTGTGGTTTTACTTACATTTCTGTCTGTTCCACTTGTGATTATCTGGAACTCTTCAGGATGGTAACAAACACACTGGAACAAAGTGTGGGCCAGGATCATCTGATTCCTTATAAGACGTCTACAAAATACCCCCAAAGCAGCTTGAGTCAGAGATTTATCCAAACTGATCACTCTGCCAGAGCTAACTTCATCTCCTGTGCACAGCAGACATCTCCTTTGCTCCGACACTGACATATGTTACTCTGAGATTGGAGTTCTCTGAAGCCTGTTTCATTTCCCTCTTTCTCTGTCTTAAGTATAAATATGCTTGTAAACTTATAGAGTTCGAGAAATCCTTTAAAACAGACAAGTGGGCGATTCCCCTTGCTGTATGGAATCCTCCCTGTGATCACAGTATAGCCCTA